AGGATCCTATTCTGACCTTAACCCCACCTACATTCTAAATTTCGTGAAGATCGGGCCATAATTGCGACCTGTAGAGTGGTTACAAATTAACATGGAGAGGGGGACAGACGGACGGACGGAAATACATAGCTAGATCGACTCAGCTCGGCGAGATAGGAAGATCCATATATACTTTCCTATGTGGGAAACCAATATTTCGAGGTGTTACATAATTTTTGGCCCAATCAAACTTATAATGCCCCCCCAACACATAGTGTTGTAGGGTATAAAATTCCGTTAAAAAATCCTACAACAAGTTAAAACGTATCAGTATTATGATTATTCAAATGTTAGACTCTCTATGGAGTAGGTTCCGAAGGAATGGGCCAATATTACCCATTTCGAATCGGAGCTCAATGAATATGATACGAATATTGCGACGTGCCAGGTTTGGACTATATTAGTCGGTTCCTACACTTTATAAAAGGTATGTAAAATTTTTTAAGATAATGTTAAAATGGTACCTCACGTACCAGATATCGGTAACCGAAGTATTCCATTTTCAGATCTTGTGTTAGAAAAAATGGTTGTATGTGTTAAATTCGAAAAGAGTTGGATGCTTAGCTTTGTTTTTCAAAATCTTGAACCCTATGTGGGGGAGGTGCCAGAAGAAATTGTCTGATCCATACCAATTTTATACCCTCCACCACAGTATGGAGGGTATATTAAGTTTCTCATTCCGTTTGTAACACCTCGAAATATACATTTTAGACCCCATAAAGTATATATCTTCTTGATCTGCATAACATTCTATATCGATTTATCAATGGCCGTCCGTCTATCCGTCTGTGGAAATCACTCTAGCTTCCGAACGAAATGAAGTAGGTTGATAAAATTTTACTCAAATATGTATTATGTCTGCAGGACTTTTGATATTGGGCCATGTAGGTCCACGTCTTCGTATAGCCCCCATATAACGAGATCTCCCGATATTCGGTATTTTGATGATTTTAGCGACTTTATTTACCGGAATAAATTCAAATTTGGTATTTGAAGTTCGTAATAGATACTACAGCAAAAAACAGAAAATGGACCGTGTAGGTCCACATCTTCGTACAGCCCCCATATAACGGTACCCCCGGATATTCGGTATTTTGATGATTTTAGCGACATTATTTACCGGAATAGTTCCAAATTTTGTATTTGAAGTTCGTAATGGATACTACAGCCTATGACAGAAAATTATGCGGACAGGTTCATTTATAACCCCCATAATACTTCCCTATATTCGGTAGTTTGATGATTTTAGCTACGTTATAAACAGTTTTTTTTTCAAGTTTCGAATTTGAATATTGCAATAGCTTGTGACAAAAGTTGCCTATGCAGATCCAAGTCGTCGTATGGACCCTAATATACGGCTACATTCGGTATTTTTAAGATTTTAACAGAATTTTTAACGGATTTTATTTTTTTGAAAATTGTTAAATTTGTACCAAATGGTGGAGGGTATTCAAAGTTCGGCACGACTGAACTTACAGCTTTTTTACTTGTTATAATAGATCTTGTGTTGATAGCAATATTAAGATTTGCCAAGTCTAAGAGGAACCGGAAGTTATTTTCGCGTTTTATAGGCTTCATGGATATTCAGAATTTTGACCGTTTGTGGGGGTGGTACTAGAAGAATTAGAGCGATATATTCCATCGTTATAGCAGATCTTTTATTAGTAGAAATAATTAGATGTGTGAAATATGAAGAGAACCCGATGATTTTTTGGGATCTTATGATCGTTTTGGTTATTCAAAATTGTTTATCTTTTGTAAGGGAGGTACCAGAAGGAGTGCACCGATATATTCCATCTTCACACCAGATCTTGGGTAAATAAAAATATTGTGATGCGTGTAATTGAAGACAATCGGACTCTTATATCACATATTATAAGAGCTATATATATTTATTCAAAATTTGACCCTTTGTGGAAGATGTGTATGAAATATGAAGAGAATTGGATTCTAATTTTTAATTTTATGATAGTTTTGATTGTTCCAAAATTTGACTCTTTGTGGGGGAGGTATCAGAAGAAATGATCTGATTTCTACCATCTCTATAACATATCTTGTGGTAATAGAAATATTGTGATGTGCAAAGTCTGATTGGAATCGGATGTTAATATCAAATCCGACGGACACGGAATTTTTTTTTTTGAAAATTTTGATCTTTAGGGGTGGAGGTACCAAAAGGAGTAGACTGATATTGCCCATCTCCGAACTCGATCGAAGTTTGATAATAATATTACGATTTACTAAGTTTGGACCAAATCGGATACTCCCTACGAGAGTTATCTTACGCACTACCCAGCCAGAAAGACAGACGGACACGGAATTTGATCCAGACGGAAAATCCAAAGACACCTAATGTTTAAAGCTAGATTTATAGCTTTAAACGTTTGCTAAATACGGTGGCACATCATTTAAGACATTTCACAATTTTTTGAATTTCTAAACCCCAAGCCTTATGTAACCCGTATCAAATTGTGTCAATATTTGTATTTTTGGAAACATTCGCTTCAAATATTGGGGAATATGGAGATTGGTTTAATATAAGTGTGAGCCACTGTACCTGTGGTTTCTTAAACCAATTTTTATTTGTATTGATGCGCACATTTCTGTAAGTGAACTTTTTTTCATTTCTTCATAAGATTGTACCGATGCTAGAGCAAATCCGTTTGATTTGTTCTCATACTTGTGTGAGCATCTTTAGAGATGATCCCCATCATTCGACACAGTCTAATGCAATGTCGCAGCTTATCATTACGAACAGAGCTTGATCGTATCATTACAACGTCATAAGCAATTAAACAAATTGTTGCTTCAATTAGTCAAATACGTATATGAGCAGTTCAATGAAATATTTCTCAATTTTATTTTTAATATTATGAACATTTAAGTATCTGAATCGTGGCTGGATTAATGAATAATATAGGAAGAACCATTTGTTTGTTTGTATTTTGAAAAATTACAACAATAATTACAACGATAAATGGCCGAAAAATGGTTCGTGAGCTGAACATATAGCAATATTCCATTCGGCAAATATTGAAAAATAAGCTAGGAGAAATGGCATTGAAATTCCAAAAAGTGCAAGAACTTACGCCGCAACATAAAGAAAATATACTCAAAAGAGCTAAAGAGTTGCTTCGATTGGCCGAAAGTGGTGAACTGCCAAGTTTGGTTTTCTTCGATGAGGAAACATTCGTTGTCCAGCAGTTTGTAAACAAACAAAATGATAGTGTTTACTTGCCAAAGAGGTCAACTGAAAAAGTGCACTTCGGTTGGCCAGCAGAACTCAATCGCCGTCCATGGTGGTGGTGTGGGCCGCCATAACAGCCGATGGTTGCTCTCCGCTCGTATTAATCGACCGTGGTATCAGAATAAAAACCGAGTATTATTGCGAAAATATTTTGGAGGGTGTATTAAAGCCTTGGGCACGCAAACATTTTGGCCGCAGACCTTGGACATTTAAACACGACTCAGCACCAATGCACTTAGCACGCGGCAACCAAGAATGGTTACAAAATGAGGTTCCACGCTTTAATGGCCACCAAAATCTCCCGATACCAATCCTATTGTGTCTAAAGTATTTCGGAAAGCAAGGTTGGCACTAAAAATACCAAGGAAAGCGCTTCACCGGAAATGGGCCAAAATACCGCAGAGCAACATTTGGGCAGCGTGTGACGGTTTCATTGGCAGTTTGAAGGCCATAATTCGTGCCAAAGGTGACCAATTCGAACAAATCTAAACTTATTCTAAAATTTGATGCTATTTCCGACATTTTTTAATTTTATTACATAAAAATTTAAAAAACAAGGAAGCAGAGGCCTTGCGTGGCCGACCATGTAATACCCTACAACACTACAATATGTCAGAAGGCCCCTTATATTCAAAACCATTTTGGAAGATTTCGCTTTTGAAATTATGACACGGAGCATTGCCCAGATATTACTCTTAGCATTTTGACCAGGGACATTTGCCCAATAGATCGACTCAGCTCGGCGAGATAGGAAGATCCATGGTACAATGATATCAAAGTAGGGCAGAACTACCATATGATTTTAATTTTTTTTCTTGGCTTAATATGTCATCTTTATTTGTTTATGTATGTTTTTTCTTTTCAATAACAAAAAAAATTGTTCAGAAAATATTCAAATTCGGATGTTTTCAAAATGTTTATTTCAACGTATGCATCGACAAAATCTAGAGTTTTCGTAGCGAAATAATCCTGTAGAGATATGTAGTACATGATTTTGAAAAGAAGTGTTGACCTTTCATTCAATTATCGCGGTTTTCAATTCTTTATTCAAAATAAATGCAACAAGTTGTTTGATTTTTTATTGTTTTGATACTAATTCTGACATTACAAGCCAAACAGGTAGACCTCTATACTTGCAATTTTTTTTAAAGTTGACCTACCTTCTCTTCATTGTACCATGGGAAGATCCATATATACTTTCCTATGTGGGAAACCAATATTTCGAGGTCTTACATAATTTTTGGCCCAATCAAACTTATAATACCCCCAACACATAATGTTGTAGGGGATAAAAATTTAAAATTATGGCCTTTGACTTTGTGGCTGTTTCTTTATTTCACCCTGTGTCTCATATAAAATATAAAAACTAGTCGATATAGTCCAAACCTGGCACGTTGTAATATTTATATCAGTCTTAGTTCAGACACGAATTGGTCAACTGCTGAGGAAGGGTCATCAATTTGAATAATCATAAGAGAAGTCAAAATATAATTATAATATTGGCTAATCCGAATGATACCTTTTAACTTGTTTTTATTCCAAAAGACGAATTTCATTTTTTTTTTTTCATTTAATCTTCGTTTTGTGATTTAACTCCTCAGTGCGTCGTTTCACCTGTGCATTGCTTGGTCAGTCAATTATTCAATCACATAACTGTTTCCAGCATGAAATACCTCATATGGATCGGTAGTTCCTATAAAAGCGCCTCAAACATGGCATTCTACTACAATAGACCCGCTGAGCTGAGTGATAGTATAAATTCTGAGTTCGCTTTCAATTATTTGCTGTAGAATGAAAAATGGAATATTTTCAAAACTTTGTTATTTGTACACTTTCTCCGCACTATCAAATGGTAAATATTTAAATGCTATTCAAATCGAAATTGATTGAATGACTGATTTTGATTTTCCGAACTGTTCCAGTGGTGCTGGGACAAAACTGTCAACTGACGGACTCCATCATGAATCGCAATTGGATTTTTCTAAGCAACAATGATCTTCTCCGAACCGATTATATAGCAGATGGTGGAACTTTGACGCTCTATTGTAATGAGCATTCGGCTGCATGGGATTTGAAGTGCACCAAAGGAACACTGGAACAGTTGCCATACGATGCAGTGTGTTCCGAACGTTTGAGCTTGTCCGTGGTGCCGCAATACAAGGCATGCTCTGCAGATGGTGCCAATGGGCAGTTATACGATATGGTGTATAGCTTTGCGACCGGCTTTACTGTGACACTCTACACCATCTGCTACTGCACATCAAGAGAAACGGTTCTGTACAGTATTCACAAGGCGTATGGCTTCAATTTACCCACCGGGAACTATCAACGACCGCAGTTTAAACTTCTGGGCAATCCGAATAGAGCCCGTGCCGACTCTTTCGGCTCCGACGAAATATACAAGACATTTCAGACTTTGCTGGGTGACGGACAGACCTATGTTAAGTCGAATCGAGACTATGCGGTGCAACGTGGACACATGGCCAATTCGCAAGATTTCCTTACCTACGATCAAATGGATGCGACGTTTTTGTACATGAATGTAGTGCCGATGTTCCGGGGCTGTAACCTTCGCAATTGGAAGCGCATAGAGAATTGGATCCATCGCTTACCTGACAAGCATACCTATGCCACCGTTGTGACTGGCACTCATGATGTACTCTATCTGCAACACAGCCAAACTCATCGCTTTGTTCCCATGTATCTGATGCCAGATGAGAAGAATCCCATGCCAATGTGGATGTACAAAGTTGTGAGGTACCAGGGCGAATGCTATGTCTTCGCCACTCTAAACGATGTGTCCAGTGTACCAGCCATACAGTACAGCAATATTTGCCGAATTACATCTTGTCCTGCCGGTCTTACTTTGGATAAGGAGCCAGGATCTTGTGTTTCGTATTGTTGCAGCTACAGACATTTTGTGCAACAGGTGGGAGATTTTGCCAATTTGTGTTCTGTCTACAGCATACCACCCTTCTTCATAGCTTTTTTGTGATTTCATACCATGTGGTGTCCTTTGAAAAACATTTCTTCGAAACGAAAATTTCAGAATTTCAATGTTCGAAGTTCGACAAGAACAAAGTTGTTTGAATTTTACGAAAACAAACAAAATTTTTGATAGGAGTACATTTAAAAATGTGTCTATAAGTGTAGATGGAATTCTGTTGTTAGGAACTTTGAGTACCAAATATTGGGCGCCATCGTTATATGTAAGAATAAATTTCAATTTTCATATCTACTGGGAACTCTCAATATTTAAAAGTTCATTGAAAATTGTGTGAATAAAAACATCAAAATATCGAATATAAAGACACTGGACCTGTACAGAAAATGTCCATAATTATTTCTTATACCCTACAACACTCTATGTGTTGTTAGTCCCCCACTTAGGAAACCATATATGGATCTTTCTATTTCGCCGAGCTGAGTGGCTCTAGCTATGTATGTCCGAACGTCTGTCCATGAATCCTGTCCAGAATAGAAGCCTATTGTTTTTGGAGATGAAAACAGAAACAGAATATTTACCAGATTTGCAGTTGTCCTACCGGCCAAAAATATGAACCAATCGACACGAAAATTTGCATGGAGTTAGAGTTTAGGGCTGGGCAGAGGCTAACCATTTTTGATGGCAAACGGTCAAAAAAATACGAAAATTTCTACTTAACAGCGAATATTTTTAATCCCGCCCAAATCACAAATACATTAAAAGGTCACTTCTGACCATTGCAGTGATGCTAATAGACAAGATATTGGATATTTAGTAAAATAGGTACAGTGTATATGTAAAAGAAATAGATCTTAATTATTCTTCTTATAAGTCAAGAACCGTTGGACAGATCTTCGCAACTCTCATCAATTCGGAATGGTTTGCTGCCAAAAGAATTATATCTAAGAAAATCGTATAAAATGTGGCAATGAAAAGTGAATATTTGTTGTTAAATTTTTTTAATATTTCGCCATATTTTTTATATCATGCGGATTGGTATTCGGAGATTTTGGTGGCCATTGTTCGCTGGAAATTAAACGAGGAACCTCATTTTGTAACCATTCTTGGGTGGCGCGTGCCGAGTGCGATGAGTCCTGTTGGAATGTCCAAAGCCTGCGGCCAAAATGTTTGCGTGCCCAAGGCTTTAATACACCCTCCAGAATATTTTCGCGATAATATTCAGCATTTATTCTGATGCCACGGTCGATTAATACGAGAGGAGAGCGACCATCGGCTGTTATGGCGGCCCACACCATCACCATGGCTGGCGCTTGAGTTCTGGTGGCCAACCGAAGGTGCATATTTTCAGCTGAACTCTTTGGCAAGTAAATACAATCAGTTTGTTTGCTTACAAACAGCTGGACAACGAATGTTTTCTCATCGGAGAAAACCAATTTTGGCTGTTCACCACTTTCGGCCAAGCGAAGCAACTCTTTAGCTCTTTTGAATCTATTTTCTTTATGTTGCGGTGTTAGTTCTAGCACTGTTTGCAACAACATTCGGGCAGCGTGAAGGTTTCATTGGCCGTTTGATGGCCGTAATTCGTGCCAAAGGTTACCAATTCGAACAAATCTAAACTTATTCTAAAATTTGATGCTATTTCCGATTTTTTTTTTTTTTTGCTTTCATTCAAAAGAATTAACAAATAATAAAACATTAAGTTCGGCCGGGCCGAACTTTTAACCATTTACGACCCACAAATACCAATTTTTAGACAAAAACCATCAAAATACCGAATATCGGATGGTATCGTGATATGGGGTCTATGCCAAGGCGTGGACCTATATATACAATGTTTCGCCACACCAACTAGGACCCATTTTAACCTACAAAATACCAAATTTCAGACAAATCCGTGAAAAAGTGTGGCAAAAATCATCAAAATACCGAATATCGGGAGACACCGTTATATGAGGACTATAAAAAAGCGTGGACCGATATATCTAATTTTTAATACCAACCATCCTAGACACAAAACAAATTATTCTGCAAAATTGCAGAATGTATATATGGATCTTCCTATCTCGCCGAGCTGAGTCGATCTAGCTATGTATGTCCGTCCGTCCGTCTGTCCATGTTAATTTGTAATCACTCTACAGGTCGCAATTATGGCCCGATCTTCACGAAATTTAGAATGGAGGTGGGGGTAGGGCCAAAATAGAACCCTATTTCTTTTGGAGATGATCGCATAATATTTAGGGGTTGAAATATAAAAATATAAAAATAAATATAAAAAAATTTTCATAATTTTGCAGCTGCTCTACAGATCGCAATTATAGACCAATCAAAGCGGAAGCTAGAGCTTAGGGCTGGACAGAAGCCTTCCAATTTTGATGGTCATCGGGTAATATTCAGTGGGTGAAATAGACCATAACATTTGTGTTATATAAAATTGAAATTTTCTATTAAACCGCGAATATTTTTAATCCCGTCGAAATCACAAATAGACGAACAGGTCAACTCTGACCAATTACGTTGATGCCGATAGTAAATATATCGGATATATATAGCGAAATATATACAATGTATATATAGAAAGGAAGGAGATGTTAGCTAGAATGCTTATGTCTCAAGAATGGCTAGACCGATTTCGACAAATTTTGTCAATTCAGAATGCCCTCTTGGCATAAAAGTATAAAATCTAAAAAATCGCATAAAAAGATGCCTGTAATGATGTTAATATAGACTTTGAAGTATTTTGTGACATTTTTTTATTTTTTCATATTTTTTATCGCATGCGATTTTTTCAATTTGACTTATAATGTTGAAGTGTACACTTTGTAATATTTTTTTACCTAATAACACAGGTTGGGGTTATTATATACAGATTGCAATTATCGTCCAATCCTCACGAAAATTTTCATAAGTGCAGGGTTAGGCTCAAAAGGGCTAGGCCTATTGGTTTTAAACATGTCCGCAATATATTTAAGGGTTGAAATGGACCAACAACTAAAAATATTCCTGATTTTGCTGCTATTATAAAGGTTACAAATAGAAACCAAAGGATACGAAATCCTGCATAAAGTTAGAGTTTAGGATAGCGGGTACAATAGACCACTAATTTTGTGTGAAAAAATACCAACATTACTTACAGACGATATCCGAAATACACAAAATTCGAAATTCTGGCTTTTCATGCTGAATTCTTTGACGAATATAGCCAAATATCGTAGACAAATATCGTAGATGAGTCTAAATTTAGAGATACAGAAGGGCCTCTTGCTTTTGGAGATGATCGCAAAATATTTGGTGGTTCAATTGAACCACGACACGCCTGAGAAGAGAGTTAAGGACAGGGAAGAATTCTAGCATTTTGGATCAAAAATGGACCACAACAACTAACAGTATGACGGAGTGCTTAAATATTGGGCAAATGTCCCTGGTCAATGTCTCGTGACATAATTTCAAAAGCGAAGTCTTCCAAAATCGATATGGATATAAGGGGGCTTCTAACATATTGTAGTGTTGTAGGGTATCACATGGTCGGTCCCGCACGACTATAGCCTTTGCTTACTTGTTTTTTCATATTTTTTGTTTTTACTAGAACTCAACTTTGAATAATGTTTGGGGGTATTTATGTAAGAAATTATGAGAATAGAATTTAGAATAGAAATTTAGAGAATAGAACATTCAGGCATGTCACAGAATGTAAAATCGTTCAAGAGTGAAAACGAAAACGGTTTTAGCTTCTCTAAAAAACGGAAAACGCAAAAATTTTGCGTTTTGATATCACTTTCAAAAAGCAGGGTGAAATTGAAATATTTAATGATTTTAACGTAAAAAATAAACAGAAGACACATACATTTAACAGAAAATATTGTATTAACCAAATTCTCTTAGAATGAACATGTTTTTGGAATTTATTTTACAAAAAATCTATTATTTGGTGGTGATATCAATCAATATGTTTTCAGTGAACACGAGAACAGTTTAATCAGGATTTGCGGATTGTATAAAAGTGTCGATGGAGTTGGTGGTGCAGTAAGCTTTGCGGATTTTGTAAGTGAATTAGACTTCAGTTGTTCTGAAAAAGAAAACTTTGATTCGTCATCATCTACACATATTCCAAGAACTCGAAAATCAAGTCAATTAGTTTTAAGTGAATCTGAAAACGAAGAGCTTAATTTTTCACCCTCAACTTCAAAGCAGACCACTTCGATTTTAAATAAAAAAGATAGACCAAGATCATGCATTCCAGCTGCTTTTAAAAATGTTTCTACATTGGCAATTGATCCAAGAACACCAACATTGGAAGAAAACCGTTCGCGAACACCTATTCAAAAACGACTTAGAAATAAAAGCTTATCGTGTTCTCCGCCATCTACACCAATAAGACAAGTGTCGGGCAGCCTAACAAAAGCAAAACCCACGCCTGCAGTAAAAAGACCCCGGGCAAGAACTCCCTCAAACCAAGATCTAAATGCGCTTTTAGTTGAGGAAAATTCTCATTTACAAAACTTGGAAAAAATTTGTAAAATTCTAGAAGATAACAGTAAGGAAATGAAAAAACAAACTGAAAAGTTGGACAGGCTTTGTAACATCCTGGAGAAAAAGTATGTGGAAGAGCAGTTACATAATATTGAAATGCAAAAGAGAATGCGTGAACGGAACGAAATGAAACTCAAAATAGTTGAACTTGAAACTCTTACATATGCTGTAGAACAGGAAAAAGCAAATACGACTCGTTCTTAACTTTACATTATTTTACACAATGGACTAAAAATGGTGGATCCTTACTCTGCATTTGAGTGAGATAAAGGATCTGATGCGTTCCTCAATGTCCGGCGACGAATTTTTTCAGTAGACCGCTGATTTATTTCTTCATCCATTACAGCAAGTATTGAAGCCCCTGGCATTTTTACTTTTGGTGTTTATATTATAAAAAACAATTTAAACTCCTTTTTTAATTGTCAATAATTTGTTTACGACTTTTTTTTTCATGGAGTTACCATATTTTTATTTCAAAAATGTGAAATGATTTTTTTTCCGGATTGGTCAAAACGTACGAGTGCTGAAGAAGCAAAAGCAAATCGTAACGATTTGGAAAAGGTGAAATAAATCGATTTCGTAAAATTTCTGTGACATGCCTGATTGTTCCACATTCAAAGTACCGACATTTGATTACAATATACAGAATCTCTTGTTAAATGGATCGAATTTCTGAATGAATGAACGAATACATACCTACACAGAAAAAAAGCTTCATTTTGACAATCATCTGAAATATTTTGCCACAACAATGAATGTAATTGTCAACATTGATTCAACGGATGTTTGGGCAGAATGACATAAAAGCTATGTGTAATGAGCGGTGAACCATCTA